CACACACACACACACACACACACACACACACACACACACACACACACCCCTGCATAGGTCTTTACATTTTCAGCTTACCAGTCCCCTTATATTAACAACTCAAACGCAGACTGTGCCTTGTAACTTATAAAGCTTTTCAAATGTGTGATCTTGTTAATCTCCCTGTGAGATAAGCAGGACAGCTCTGATTATGTTCATTTCTAAAGGAAAAACAACTGAGGCTCGGAGAAGTGAAGTATTTCATCTAAGGTTCTATGGCCAGTGACCCAAACCCTATCTTCTAATTCCAAAGAGTTTCATTAATTTCTAATTATTTATTACTTTGTATTGTTTTATATTAATTTGTATGATTAATTATGAATTTGTTTTACAATAATAAAATGATATTCACTTACAGAACAACCCCCATATTACTCCCTATCATCTTCTGTGTTAGGATTACCTGCCTTTTAGAAATATAGTTACAGTTATTTTGTATTAAGAAGCTACATCTCTTTGAAGGGAAAGATATTAAGTGGGTGATGCATTCTGAGGATGATATACATGAAATGAATATACAATGGTACCTTTTGTGTACTTCAAAGTGCAAATGTGGGGGAAGTTTATATATAAATGAGTTAACATGTGAAAGGGTTTGTGCTATTTATTTATGCAAACACCTAGATGCTCTTTATGGATCTGGAACTGGGAGGGATGGCCACTTTAAACACTTTCTTCCCTAGGGATGCTTTAAATTGCCTGCCACTATTCTCATACCAAACATTGTTTTTATTTTTAGATCTTATTTTTCATTTTGATTTTTTGCCTGCCTGGACACGTTTCTCAAGACACACACAAAAAGAAAGGTACTCAGAGATACATACAAATTCAAGAGTCTATGGAAAGGCGAGTGAAGGATATAGATAGAAAGGGGAATGAATGACATACGCACAAAGAAGGAGGGACAGATCTGAGGCGAAAGGATCTATCACTGGGGAAAAAAAAAAAGAATCCTGAAAAAGTCTGAAAGTTTGATATCCATAGGTGAAGAATCAGTAGGAAATACATGATTTTTTTCTATAATCATTTTACAATGCCAATTTTACAACAATCCCAAGGCGAATTTCTTTAAGTGTCTAATCTTAGACTTTCCCCTGTTATTAAATAGGAACCACATTCCGTCTACACCTCAGGCATCACGCATTCTTTCATGTAAAAGGACATTGCTCTACAATCTCAATAGCTCCCGCCTGATAATCTTTATTACCACCCGGATGAGTCACAAATGACCACACAGAGTAGGCAACCAGTATTCAATTTCAGGCTTTACATGCACCTATGGTGGTACATAGGTGCGACTTTGCTTACACCTTCTAATAGAGAATGAAGATAAACACACCTTATTCACATTCCTGATGTTCTATCAAAAGCACTTCATGAAGAATTTCAAGAAAGTCCTCATCCCTCTCCTCTGCCCCCAACATAAAGGATGTCTCACCCGAATTGGATTTCTTAGAAGATTGAGAACTCGAAGGAGACGTAGGTTTTCAATGTATTCTATTTCACCCAGCTCAGCAATCTGTTTAATCCAAAAACAAACACACACACACACACACAATATAATCAACAGACTAAATGCACCAAGACAACAGAGAACGTAATATAAGAGGAGCTACTTTGGATCCCTTAAACTCAGCTTATTTTAAAAATTGCTCTTGTGACTATCCAGCTTTTTAATGAGACTCCACAAAGCTACACAGAACAAGGGAATTATTGCATGCTCCTTCAGTAAATGCAAACTCACAGCCACATTTCCTTTTTTCCTCTCTGGATAGACAACAGTGAGGTAGATGTTTCTCATCTCACCCACGTTTATCTTAAGGCAGAAATTAAATAGTACATAGAATCAGAGAAACTGCAAAAAATGCACGCAAGGGCTACATGCTTCTCCCCATCACTATTCTGCCTAGCCTCCAGCTCCCCAATCTCCCTCCCCAACGCTGCTTCTGCTGGTTACTGTGGTCATCTGTGGCTGGGGAAGCCTTCTTACTGCATGTACATGTGGAGCTCTATCAGTTTTTCAATGAGATAATTGTTTTAAGAAAAGGTAAACATGGGAGATTGTATGACATATTTCTTTTCTTTTTTTTTTTTTTTTTTTGCAGTATGGGGGCCTCTCACTGCTTTGGCCTCTCCCGTTGCGGAGCACAGGCTCCGGACGCGCAGGCTCAGTGGCCATGGCCCACGGGCCCAGCCGCTCCATGGCATGTGGGATCTTCCCGGACCGGGGCACGAACCTGTGTCCCCTGCATCAGCAGGCGGACTCTCAACCACTGCACCACCAGGGAAGCCCATGTATGACATATTTCTTGATGTGAATGTTACATGACTATTCACCTTAAAATTCTTTGCTAAACTGTACGTTTATGTGTTATACACTTTTTTTGTCAGGTAATGTTTCATGACTTTAAAAAGTAAGAGGGAAAAAGGTTGCTTGATAGTTCCTTAATTTGAGCAGGGACAGAGCTTGGGTGGCAGCAGGCCTGAATTCTCCACTAAACTAAAGACAAACAGTTTTCCTTGAATGTCCTGTAATTAGCATAATTATAATCTTATTTCAGATGTAGATGTTGAACTTTTACAAAAAATTAATAATCACTTTTTCATTTCTATTTCTCCCCAAGTCATTTCTGCATGCATGGTAACAGCAGACTCCAACAGCAGAGTCACTAATAGTTCCTGAGTTATCCAATGACAAAATGCAGTTGAAATGTAAGCTATTCCCAAAGCTAAATCAGGGGAGGAACACATGTGCCATGTTCTAAGGATGCCATTTTCAAAGACATAATATGAGAGGCCAATTCCGAGTTACAATATACAACCTGCACACATTAATCTGGTTATAGCAATGTTATGCTTTTTCCATAAGATGACTAGACTCTCCATTAAACTGCCATTTGGATCATCTACAAGATAAAAGGATCAATTTTTAAATATTGTGCTATTTGGGAAGATGGAAGAGTCACTTTGGTTCACACTGCTCAATCAATCAATAGATTGATTCCCCTCTGGCCTACAGCTCTTGTGTTTGGACCTAGCACAGATGTTAGGAGATGTTTCCTCACAGCCAACATGTCTCACCAACGCATCCTGGCCACGTGCACTTGCAGACATCGCTGGTGGGAGTGGATGTGCTACACATGCATAAGCTATAACAGCTGTCCCACCTTCAGGAGGTTTATACTGAAAAGATCATCAGACAGACGAAAATTAGATACATGAGCATTCGGTCTAACGTTTCGGTAAAAGTTTAAAATTTTCTCAATTCTGAAAAATTCCATCATTATGTGATTAAATGAGCCATGGCACAGTCCCACAATAGGAACACTAGGCAACCATTTTAGAAGATGGTAACATCGATGGTGCTTAACATGGAAAGATCTTGTAAATGCTGTGAACACTATGAATAGAATAATCACAGACTATGTAAAATATTATCACTGTCAGTTGGGATGAACCAGTCTTTTGAGAGTCAAATGAGAGGGATCCAGCTCCCCTCCCAGTCCTTTCAAAGGTAGGATGAAGTGGGTAAGGGCAGAGGGGAACACATGTGGAGGCACCTGGCTACCAGTGCCCACCTCTGCTGAACTGGTGATGTGCACCAGACACGGGCCATCCTGCATGCGCCGCCCACCCCGTCCTGCAGACCTCACCCGGCAGCAGACCCACCCTCACGTCTTCTCTCTTCAAATGCCAAGACCCAAGGCTGTGTGTGTCACAAGCGATCACAAAAGGTGTACAGACACAACTCCCCCAAACCACCTGAAGTGAAACACTGCCAGAAAGATTATATTCTGAAAGGAACTTCAGCCATCTGATGCCAGGAATGTCATACCAGCAGTGCTGATCCCCAGATTCCAGTCTACACTTCTTCCCTGATCTCCTCTGCCCCTGTTGGCTACTCCCCACCAAGCAGAAGCCTTTCAACTTCCACTATGTAGGGAGAAGTTGGCTCCTTTCTTTGACATTTCCTTTTAAGCCATGCTCTCCAAGCCTAACCATCCAGACCTAAAGAGGCCTGTTAAGTCTTTTTCGTAAAATACATGCTAGATAGAGAGAGAGATGAAATAATGACACCAAGTAAGACTCAGAGAAGTAAAAGAGCGGTCTCTAAGTAACTCCCAGACCAATATCTTGCTTCTAGAAGAAAAGGCTGAGGTTGTAATAGAGTTAACATTTGGGGGATAAGTTTTAAATGATAGAAATGACTTCAAATCTAACAAGGATTGCAGAGTGGAGAGTGACAAAGGCCCCCAAATCACCAGCTTATGATGAATTTGCAAAAAAACTTAAAAGAGATGTTCAAATGATCATGTAAAGCTACGGCAATGTTTCAACAGCTTATACCAAGTAAATAATACTGATAAAAGTGCTCCCAATAAGATAATATTCCTAACATCAAGTTAATCATATGAGAAGCAATAGCTATGTCATGTTTCTCTTAAATGATAAATCTTCCATCCTTGATACACAGTATTCTCAGTAGTGCTAGAGAAATCTCTGAGGAAATCTTTGGATGGCTCGGCTGACAGAATATTTCACATACTGTTGGTTGTTCCCCAACCTGCCCAGCGGGGCGTGAGGGAATTGTGCCATTGTTATGGACCCCATCGCTTGTTGCCAAAGGATCCCTCCTTTGGGACGTGTGGCCACTTTTTTCTTTTTTAATGGAGTTTCTTCAACATTTGAAAATTATAAACTCTGTTCTTCCCTAATGATCCCCCTTTTTTTCTTCAACTATTTCAAATGTAATCTGAAAAGTCTCCTGGAATGGAAGAGAACACCATACTATTCATGAGGTCTTTCTAGACCTGTGCTACCCAATATGGCAGTTACTAGCCCTATGTGGCTACTTACCACTGGGAATATGGCTAGGATAAATTCAAATGTACTGTGCAAAATACACAATAGATGTCCTAAACGTAGTATGAAACAACAGAATATAAAATATCTCATCAATAATTTTTATAAAGATTACATGTTGAAATGACAATATTTTGGATATATTGGGCTAAATAAAGCAAAAAATTAATTTCACCTGTTTCTTTTTACCTTTTTATTGGGGCTACTAGAAAATTTAAAATTACACATGAGGCTCACATTATATTTAAGCCAGAAAGCACTCTTCTAGATCATGACAACACCACACACTTTTCTGAAGGGAGGGCCATTAGCATTTCATTTACTGTATTAGCCTGCAGGGTTAAGAACACTGACTCTGGACGCAAATCATTCTGTTTGAACCCTGGCTCTGCTATTCACTGGATATGGTATAATTTTGGACAAGTTACTTAACGTCTCTTTGCTCTAGTTTCTTCATCTGTAGAATAGCGATAATAATAGGGTTATAATGAGGATTAAATGAGATGATATATGCAAAGTGCTTAAAACAGTGCCTTGTGCATAAATACGCAATGAAAATCTCTGCATTATTTTATGACTGTAATTGCCATTATTATTACCATTACTCCTTTTCCTAAATCCTGAGATGCACTGAGTTGAAATGTAATGAGTGCATTCTGCCATTTGAACACCACCTGTATGTATCTGCAAACCATTTTAATGGCCATTTCATGAAAAAGACACTAAAACCATATGAGACAGAGATTGGGCTGACTTCCTAAGACAGGTGGGACAGTGAACAGAAGTCACCCACTAGAATTAACCTTAGAAGTTAACAAACAATTTAATATGCAAGTCAAGTGAAAATGAGGAGGAACAGTTTTTGCCTGTGATTAAAAATCCACTTCTTCCCAGACCTAAAGATTGCCTCCTTTTCTTGATTTTTAGAAATCTAACAGCTAATGGAAGCTCACTGGAGAAAGAGTCATCAGACCCAGCTGATAAGCACCAACACAGCCGAACAGAGAAATATCTCCACAGGAACGCATCTCACTCCAGCTAGGATCTAGGTCTCTTTCAGGGTTAGCCAAAATTTTCATTTTCAAGAAGAAATAACCATTCGTCTTCCTTATGAAATCTTTCCCCAAAATATGAAAAAGTACTCGAGATGAATAAAATCACAATGTAGATCTGATTGCATAAGAGGTGAGTTATAGGTACCAACTTAATACACCATGATTAGGAGCACAAATGCTTTATTAAAAATAAAATGTAATTAAGAGTGAAAGCCGGGCTTCCCTGGTGGTGCAGTGGTTGAGAGTCCGCCTGCTGATGCAGGGGACACGGGTTCGTGCCCCGGTCCGGGAAGATCCCACATGCCGTGGAGCAGCTAGGCCCGTGAGCCATGGCCGTTGAGCCTGTGTGTCCGGAGCCTATGCTCCAAAACGGGAGAGGCCACAACAGTGAGAGGCCCGCGTAGCGCAAAAAAAAAAAAAAAAAAAGAGTGAAAGCCAATTGGTGAAGTAATGTGTGCATTAAGCCAGATAGGGTAATTTGAGTAAGTCCAATCCCCAACTCATTCGGGTTGGGAACATACCCTATTGTTACAAATAGGATATAAGAATTCACTTCCTGTGTCTCTTCTCATTAAATGGGACACAGGCAACACCAGCCTGAGACTATTCTCTTGTCTCTAGTTTCCCTCCTCTGACACGTCAGACATTCCTAATGCCATCTTTCTACCCCAAATTTCACACGAATATATCTACTTCACAAAGTCATGTGCACCTGGTTGCAGTTTAAACCTTCAAAACAATGTAATTAGGAATCTTCACATTTTCAAAAATTAAGAATTATTACTATTTTAAAAAAAAAAGCAGTCCTTCAACTGTTGCTCCAGGAGGTTTTCTAGAATAACCTTCCTGAGCTGGCATTGAATGTGATAGCACTTGAGAAATAATTATAGACACTAAAACCAAGACATATAAAGTATAATATGACATTACCTTATTATCCTCAAGGTTGATCACTTCCAAGAAGTCATGACTCTCCAAGCCTTGGAGGCTACTGATCTGATTGTGGCTCAGATCCAGGATCTGCAGGACCCTTAGGTCATCCAAACCTGTGATCTTCTCAATCTGGTTATTGCTCTAAAATTGATAAAATACACTTAATGTCCTAAAGGGAAAAGTGTAATGACAAGTTTTCATCCTGGATACTGCCCCAAACCTCTTAAAATCAGTAAGACATTCTTGTCCCCCCTCCCATTCCCATCTTTCACCTCCCTAAACACATATACATACATCCCAGAAAGAAATCCCAGTCTTTCAGCTGGAAGACTCAGAACATAATATTTTCGCTAGAGGTAAAGCAGATGAATGTTTGAATCAATAGGAAAGACAAAAGCTAGGTAGTATAAGCTTCTGACATTGCTAACCTCAAGCTTAATGGCAGCATGGCTCCAAGCTTATCTTTAGAAATGTAAATTTAATGCAATTCTTTCATCACCATCACAGAAAACCACTTGAATACTGTAACTCCCACGTACACTCTGTTTTCAGAAATATTCTGAATATAATCACCTCATATCATGAGGACTGTAGTAGTCTGGTACCTGCCTCCACTTATTCATGCTCTTGTACAGTTTCCACCTCTTGAATCCAGGATAGACCTGTGACCTGCCTTAACCAAAAGAATACAGCAGAAGTGTCCCGGTTCCAAATCTAAGACTTAGGAAGGCCTGGCAGCATCTCCTCTTGTGTCTTGGAGCCCTAAGCTGCCATGTAAGAACTCTAGCCACTCTGGGAGAGAATCTGCGGAAAGGTCACCTGGAGAGGAGCCCTGAGACTAAACAGAGAGGAGGAACCCAGCCATTGCAGCATCCTGGCTGAGCCCAGCCCCCAGCCAATCTGCTAGCTGGACGTGGCAAGACCAGCAGAACCGCCCAGCTGGGCCCAGCTCAGATTACAGAACTGCTAGCTAATAAAATGGTTAACTAATACATTTCTCCATGCCACTCCACATGGGGTGGCATGTTCTACAACAATAGATGCATAAACAAAGTTCTTAAATAATTCACACGTAAGCATCTTCTTAGACAATACCATGAAACAGAGAAAGATATAAGACTTAAACACTGTTCTTCTTCCCAACCCCCCTGTACCCATAACAACAAATTATAGTGATAACAATAATTTGTATTTTCTTGTACATTTCCCAACATTCTCAAAATTCCTTGGGTTCTTTAGCCTTTGAGGTATAAAACTATGCCACAGTAAAGTTAAACTTTGAGTTGAGAAGCACAGTAAAGTGTAATTTTGAGATTTCAATTAATGCCACATTATACCCATCCTTAAACTTTTTTTTTGGCCACACCATGCACGCAAGATCCCAGGTCCCTGACCAGGGATCGAATCTGTTTCCCTGCAGTGGAAGTGTGCAGTCCTAACCACTGGACCACCATGGAATTCCCCCCATCCTTAAACTTTTAAAACTTTTACTAAGCACTTTAGAACTAAAATCTTAAATTATAGTATTCTCTACCATCTATAATATTTTTCCTGGTACATGCTTCCCAAAGTATTTAATAGTAAGAGTTCATTTTCACTCAACTTTTCATAAGATTTCACTTCAATAATGAGCAAGGTTTATGTTCATTAGTATAATTCTATGGCTGTTTAAAATATATTAATAGAATGCTGATAATCTATAAAACTGGATTATAGTACGTGGGGGTTCATTAAACTATTCCTTTTATTTTTATATATGTTTGAAAAATTCCATAATAAGAAGGAAAAATACTCGAAACTCCATTTGCCTAAGTCAAATTTCCTACTGTTCAAAAAAGTTCTAGAAAGTGTAATAGAAAGGGGAAAGAAAAAAACTACAGTAAACTGAACATAATATCCTTATTAATTTAACTTATTGAAATAAGACCTCAATATCCTATTTAAAATATGCCCACATATCAAATTTATGTATAATACACCTCTTCCCCAAAGACCTTTGAAGTGCTGTAGATGTGGAAGATGAACTGTAATTCTTCTTTAGAGTGTCTCTGATGGCTTTCAAAGTGGTAGATGTACAAGAACAGACTGAGGCATAGAAAAGTTTAATTACATAACCTGTGGTCATAAAAGAAAGCAGAACTGAGAAGTATTACGAATCAGAATTTCTGAGTCAAAGTTATCTATTAAAACCCTATATCCAATGATGAAAAACTGATACATCTCTTCTCAAAGTGCACGTCTAGTGCCTGCATGAACAGTTCTTGCTTGTTTTATCATGATTAGCAGGGAAAAGGCGGTCTTTAGAGAGAAACTAAAATGAAATGAGAAATATTCTCGATCTCCCAAGTTGGAAGAGAAAAAAAATGGCTTTTACTAAGACAAAATGATGTTTGAAGTTTGGAATGTATTGTCCTTACTTGCTAAAGGAGGTGGTTGACAGAGCAGACCATAAGTGAACCACATTTCCCCCTAATATTTATGGTAAAAGTTGATGGAAGAGGGACTCTCCTGTTGGCGCAGTGGTTAAGAATCCGCCTGCCAATGCAGGGGACATGGGTTCGAGCCCTGGACCGGGAAGATCCGACATGCTGCGGAGCAACAAAGCCCGTGTGCCACAACTACTGAGCCTGTGCTCTAGAGCCCGCAATCCACAACTACTGAAGCCTGCGTGCCTAGAGCCCTCTTGTTGCTCTGCAACAAGATAAGCCACCACAATGAGAAGCCCGTGCACAGCAACTACAGAAAGCATGCACGCAGCAACGAAGACCCAACACAGCCAAAAATAAATAAATAAATTTATTTTTTTAAAAAAAGTTGATGGAAGAGAATTAACTGGTTTGTATGGTGAATTGTTCTTTTTTCTCTAAAGTGTAAAGTGAATTACTTTCAGTAGTAAACCAATTGGATTACTGATACCACAAATCTTTTAAAAGTATTAAAAACTATTGAAATAAATGAGTATCATTTTATTTTATGAATTTTATTAATATATGGAAAAGAAAACCTTCCTATTCTCAAAAAGTTTAAGGAAAATGAATGATGGCATATTCTGTATTTTCTAGTTCATTTTGGGTGATGAGGATGGGGGTTGGGAACAATCCACCTAATCTACTTATAGGAAAAATAAGCCTTTTATGCTTCTTCTAAAAGCTACTTGAGATGAAATTATCAACACAGATTATTTAGTTATTGAAACAAAGTCTTAGGATGAAAGTGCTATGTGATGTCATTCTTAATAATCAGTTCAATTCTCATTCCCTTAAGCACACCCCCAATCTCTTTCCACACATCATGCTCCACTTAAAGTTAATGGGAATGCCAATGCAAAAAGATATGTAAATAAAAGGATAAGGTTCTAACAAGCTGCAAATTAAATAGAATATACTGCCAGTAATCCTTCAAATTATCATAATTTTAAAATGTGACTTTCTTTTATAATTTTTAAATTTGCAATTCAGCCTACCAAATTCATTTTCATTTATGCTTTGCTTACATGCCTTAGTGGACAGAAAACAGAAAAACTCAAGGAAATTATTAAACCTTTCCATGCTTCATTTCCAACCTCAGTACTCGGAACCAGTGCTTTACCCTCACCTAACTCACTGTAAGAAGTGAAGGCTCTTGAAAAAGCACTTCAGGCTTAACACATAGCCAACCTTCAGCTGTTTGTGGTTAAATTAGACAGGAATTGTACATTGTATATGTCAAAAATCTGCAGATAACCCAAGATGTCATTTCAAACAACAATGTTCGGGGCTTCCCTGGTGGTGCAGTGGTTGAGGGTCCGCCTGCCAATGCAGGGGACACGGGTTTGTGCCCCATGTCGGGAGGATCCTACATGCCACAGAGCGGCTGGGCCCGTGAGCCATGGCCGCTGAGCCTGCACGTCCGGAGCCTGTGCTCCGCAACGGGAGAGGCCACAACAGTGAGAGGCCTGCATACCGCAAACAAACAAACAAAAAAACCAACAATGTTCAACACTCTCCTTTGGGATAGTTCACGTAAGAAATAAGCTACTAGCCTCATGGCTTAAAATCCCCCCATCCACCTCATGACAGATATAATAAAGAATCCCAAAGCCATCCAAGGGTAAGAAGTGAGAAGGAGAAGGAAAGGAAGAAGAAAGAATCCTAGATAATCTACAAACTATATAATCACCCCCAAATTAATGAGCTAGACTGTTATTTCAAAAATACTGTATATATCTTTGGAACAACTATGATCCTGCTGATTTTAAAGTAAATTGTGTTTTCATTCAGTCAGAGTCACACTGTCATACAGCTTAAGAAGCACGCTCTCTATAGGAAAAACATTAAAAATTTTAACTTCTTGATGGGAATTGTTCATTTATTCTCAGCACTAATTCTGGTTTTCTAGAATGGGAAACTGGCACATAGAGATGTAAAAGGACTGCCAAATTCAGTGCCCAGTGCTTCATTTGAGAGCAATGAAGTTTCAACTGCAATAAATATTATGTTTAAATATGTTTAAATGTTATTTCATCAATAAGACATTAAAATATATTCTATTTTTTAACATCTTCAGTGGAGTATAATTGCTTTACAATGGTGTGTTAGTTTCTGCTTTATAACAGTGAATCAGCTATACGTATACATATAGCCCCATATCTCCTCCCCTCTTGTGTCTCCCTCCCACCCTCCCAATTCCAGCCCTCTAGGTGGTCACAAAGCACCGAGCTGATCCCCCTGTGCTAAGTGGCTGCTTCCCACTAGCTATCTATTTTACATTTGGTAGTGTATATAAGTCCATGCCATCCCTCAATTCATCCCAGCTTATCCTTCCCACTTCCCACGTCCTCAAGTCCATTCTCTACGTCTGCATCTTTATTGCTGTCCTGCCCCTAGGTTCTTCAGAACCATTTTTTTTTTTAAATCCATATATATGTGTTAGCATACGGTATTTGTTTTTCTCTTTCTGACTTACTTCACTCTGTATGACAGACTCTAGGTCCATCCACCACATTACAAATAACTCAATTTTGTTTCTTTTTATGGCTGAGTAACATTGCATTGTATATATGTACCACATCTTCTTTAACCATTCATCTATCGATGGACACTTACGTTGCTTCCATGTCCTGGCTATTGTAAATAGAGCTGCAATGAACATTGTGGTACATAACTCTTTTTGAATTATGGTTTTCTCAGGGCATACGCCCAATAGTGGGATTTCTGGGTCATACGGTAGTTCTATTTTTAGTTTTTTAAGGGACCTCCATACTGTTCTCCATAGTGGCTGTATCAATTTACATTCCCACCAACAGTGCAAGAGGGTTCCCTTTTCTCAACACGCTCTCCACCATTTATTGTTTGTAGATTTTTTGATGATGGCCATTGTGACCGGTGTGAGGTGATACCTCACTGTAGTTTTGATTTGCATTTCTCCTATGATTAGTGATGTTGAGCATCCTTTCATGTGTTTGTTGGCAATCTGTATATCTTCTTTGGAGAAATGTCTATTTAGGTCTTCTGCCCATTTTTGGATTGGGTTCTTCGGTTTTTTTGACATTGAGCTGTATGAGCTGCTTGTAAATTTTGGAGATTAATCCTTTGCCAGTTGCTTCGCTTGCAAACATTTTCTCCCATTCTGAGGGCTGTCTTTTTGTCTTGTTTATGTTTTCCTTTGCTGTGCAAAAGCTTTTAAGGTTCATTAGGTCCCATTTGTTTATTTTTGTTTTTATTTCCATTTCTCTAGGAAGAGGGTCAAAAAGGATCTTGCTGTAATTTATGTCATAGAGTGTTCTGCCTATGTTTCCCCCCAAGAGTTTTATAGTGCCTGGCCTTACATTAAGGTCTTTAATTCATTTTGAGTTTATTTTTGTGTATGGTGTTAGGGAGTGTTCTAATTTCATTCTTTCACATGTAGCTGTCCAGTTTTCCCAGCACCACTTACTGAAGAGGCTGTCTTTTCCCATTGTATATTCTTGCCTCCTTTATCAAAGATAAGGTGATTATACGTGCGTGGGTTTATCTCTGGGCTTTCTATCCTGTTCCACTGATCTATATTTCTGTTTTTGTGCCAGTACCATACTGTCTTGATTACTGTAGCTTTGTAGTGTAGTTGAAAGTCAGGGAGCCTGATTCCTCCAGCTCTGTTTTTCTTTCTCAAGATTGCTTTGGCTATTTGGGGTCTTTTGTGTTTCCATACAAATTGTGAAATTTTTTGTTCTAGTTCTGTGAAAAATGACATTTGTAGTTTGATAGGGATTGCACTGAATCTGTAGATTGCTTTGGGTAGTATACTCATTTTCACAATGTTGATTCTTCCAATCCAAGAACATGGTACATCTCTCCATCTGTTTGTATCATCTTTAATTTCTTTCATCAGTGTCTTATAGTTTTCTGCATACAGGTCTTTTGTCGCCTTAGGTAGGTTTATTCCTAGGTATTTTATTCTTTTTGTTGCAATGGTAAATGGCAGTGTTTCCTTAATTTCTCTGTCAGATTTTTCATCATTGCTGTATAGGAATGCAAGAGATTTCTGTGCATTAATTTTGTATCCTGCTACTTTACCAAATTCATTGATTAGCTCTAGTAGTTTTCTGGTAGCGTCTTTAGGATTCTCTATGTATAGTATCATGTCATCTGCAAACAGTGACAGTCTTACTTCTTCTTTTCCGATTTGGATTCCTTTTATTTCTTTTTCTTCTCTGATTGCTGTGGCTAAAACTTCCAAAACTTATGTTGAATAACAGTGGTGAGAGTGGGCAACCTTGTCTTGTTCCTGATCTTAGTGGAAATGGTTTCAGTTTATCACCATGGAGAACGATGTTGGCTGTGGGTTTGTCATATATGCCTTTATTATGTTGAGGTTAAGTTCCCTCTATGCCTACTTTCTGCAGGGATTTTATCATAAATGTGCGTTTCTTTCATTGATTGATTTGCGTATATTGAAGAATCCTTGCATTCCTGGGATAAACCCCACGTGATCATGGTGTATGATGCTTTTAATGTGCTGTTGGATTCTGTTTGCTAGTATTTTGTTGAGGATTTTTGCATCTATGTTCATCAGTGATATTGGCCTGTAATTTTCTTTCTTTGTGACATCTTTGTGTGGTTTTGGTATCAGGGTGATGGTGGCCTTGTAGAATGAGTTTGGGAGTGTTCCTCCCTCTGCTATATTTTGGAAGAGTTTGAGAAGGATAGGTGTTAGCTCTTCTCTAATGTTTGACAGAATTCGCCTGTGAAGCCATCTGGTCCTGGGCTTTTGTTTGTTGGAAGATTTTTAATCACAGTCTCAACTTCAGGGCTTGTGACTGGTCTGTTTATATTTTCTATTTCTTCTTGGTTCAGTCTCAGAAGTTTGTGCTTTTCTAAGAATGTGTCCATTTCTTCCAGGTTGTCCATTTTATTGGCATATAGTTGCTTGTAGTAATCTATCATGATCCTTTGTATTTCTGCAGGGTCAGTTGTTACCTCTCCTTTTTCATTTCTAATTCTGTTGATATGTCTTCTCCCTTTTTTTCTTTATGAGTTTGGCTAATGGTTTATCAATTTTGTTTATCTTCTCAAAGACCCAGCTTCTAGTTTTATTGATCTTTGCTATTGTTTCCTTCATTTCTTTTTCATTTATTTCTGATCTGATCTTTATGATTTCTCTCCTTCTGCTAACTTTGGGGTTTTTTTTGTTCTTCTTTCTCTAATTGCTTTAGGTGTAAGGTTAGGTTGTTTGAGATGTTTCTTGTTTCTTGAGGTTGGATTGTATTGGTATAAAATTCCCTCTTGGAACTGCTTTTGCTGCACCTCATAGGTTTTGGGTCATCGTGTTTTCATTGTCATTTGTTTCTACGTATTTTTTTATTTCCTCTCTGATTTCTTCAGTGATCTCTTGGTTATTATAAAAATATTCTTAATAGTTGCTAAAAGTATGCCTTCCTTTCTCAGTGTTAAAGTCAATCTTTTAAAAAATGGAATTTGTGTACCAAATTAGAAAATCATTTTACTTTAGCATGAATTATTCATCTCTCTCTCTCTCTCACACACACACACACACACACCCCACACACACACCCCAGATATGGAAAGGAGCAAACAGAACTAAAGACAATGCCATTTCATGAAGGAATTAGCTCTTTATAAAACTGAAAAATGCTAACCATCATTCATATATTTACTAAGACATTAACTAGTACTTCTATAAAGAATAACAGTTTTGTTAGACTCACCAGACAAAGTATTTTGATAGGTAACATTCCTAAGCCATTAATGGTTGTGATCTTGTTCTTGGCCAAACTAAGGTGGGTAAGACTGCTACACAGCTCTAGTCCGTTGATTTCAGCTATCTCATTGCCTATACACCATGACTATGTTTAAGGAAAATGGTATTAGAAACATTTGGAAGAAAAAATGAATTAGTGTCAAATCATCATTAGAAAAATCAGACAACAGCATAAATAAAAAAGTACTCTATGCTAATATAGGATGAATGCTAAATCTTAAAATGATATTTTTTTCATATAGAAGTTAATAGTGCACCAGGTAAAATTAGTTTGTTTTTTTTAAAGGCATAGCTTTTGAGTGTGCTCAGTTGCCTTTGTGTTCATATGTGACTCATTTAATCAGTGAGGAAAAACACTTCAGAGTGGTTCAAAGCTGCCACCTTGGCAGTGTTTTTTCCTTGGTTCCTGAATGGTCTCCATGAGAAACCCTTGTACTTTTCCACAGGCAGAACTGAATCCAGGGTTGCCCTGGAGAGGCACATGCACTTTATCATCCCCATAACCAGGGAAGCAGCCTGGGAGGTGTCATCTGCAGAAAATGGGTGATACTGAGAGGAACAGCCTTTTCTTCTATCTATATTGGCTTCTCTTCTCTTTATAATAAATGAGGCCTAAACTCAGCCTTGTTTTCCTCATCTGTTGATTTTCTAGTTATTTTAAAATTTAACTCTTAGCTTTTGTTTTCCATCCTTATAGTCACCTAAAAGTGCAAACTCAAAGTCACCAATTCTACTTACCTCTCTCTGTCCTCAATCTTTCTGGCAAATTTCTAGGATTTAATATCACTTCTCCACCCAAGCTCAGTTTTCCCTCCCAAGTAGCCTAAGACATCACCATTTTCTCAGCCACTTGTAATCTTCAGGGCGTCCAATCATCACCAAAACCTGGCAGATTTTGCTTTAAAACATCTCTTCAAATATGTCCTTCCTTGTCATTCACCCCTCTGCCAACTTAATTCAGCTTTAGCACCAATGGATACCTCTAACATCCATTTCTTCCTGCCCTCAAGTCACCTTACACACTGTAGTCAGGTTAATTTTTTTCAAAATATTGACTGGATATCACGCTTCAATTAAAAAATTCTCACAGGACGAATTCCAAATTCTTCACTCTGGCATTTAAGGCCCTTTACTTTAAGCAAAACCTATTTATCGAATTTCATCCCCCGTAATAATCCAGTGAGAATGCTCCAATTCTGCCAGGTCAACCTTCTCAATACTTCTGGAATATACCCCTTGACTTTCTTAATTTTTTTAAATACTGCTTTCCTACTTATTTCTAAACCCTACCCATTCTTCAGGACTTAATTTGAAATTCCACTTTTTAAAGTTTTTTCTCTTTTTTAACATTTGCATTAAACCAACATCTTAAGTATTTCTTTTTGACAACCTCATTTCCCTACTTCTATTAGTTTTTAATTACATAAGTAAATACAGGTGACAGACTGGGCGAATATATTCACAACATATAGAGTATACAAAGAATTACTATCTAGAAAACATAAAGAATGACAATAACCCAATAGAAAATGGGGCAAGAATATATCCAGGAAATTCCCAGAAGAGCAAATCCAAGTGGCTAACATAATAAATGTATGAAAAGACACTCTGCTTCACCTGTAGTCGGGAGAAAGCAAATTAAGATGCTATCCTTTGCCTATCGGTTTGGCAAACATTTTAAAGCTTTTGAAGAACAGATTCTTTCATACTACTGGGTGAGAAGGTTCATTATGGTATAGCCTCTCTGGAGGCAATTTGGCAGTGACTATTATAGTTGTAAATATCAGAGCAATTCCAATTCTTGGTATCCACTGGAGACAAACTCTTTCTTCCTCAAAGCCTTTTCTGGTCAATTTCTAACACCCCACCTATGGAGATTAATCACACAATCAACAAACTTTTTAAGAGAAAGGAAGGGACTGTAAGTATCACTGAAATGTACATTTTGCCTCATAATTATTTGTAGTCATCCTAACTCTACTACTTACTAGTTACGTGATGTAATTTCTCTCTGCTCAGATTTTTCATCTGTAAAATGGATACAACATCAGGCTGCCGTGAAGGCCAAAAGTTAGATCATGAGAAAACATTTAGAAAATGTATGTGAGTGAGTTGTACAAGTACCTCACAATTATAAGGCATTGTTATCGTTACTAAATTACAAGCACATGAGGCCAAGGAATCACATCCTCTGCCTCTTGGCCAGCAGCACAAAAAGGAGGATCAGGCCAGGACTGATTCTGAAAGAACAAAGACAGAGACAGAGTTTAATTAAGAAACTGAAAGCAATGATGAGAAAATATTGCCAAATGGACCAGAAATTCCTCGATTTTCCTCACTGGTTCCAGATTCAATCCTTGGGCTGAAGCATAGTTCGGCTTGTTGTCAACATGCATTTCAAAACCACTTTCATAAAGCTTCCTGCCAGACTAGCTCTACAAATAGACACTTATGCTCACAAACACGATTCTTCTTTCTGCTTCCATTTTCTTTGGGCTATTTAAACAATCACTCTATAGATGAAATAAAATATCCTCAGTGTAGCAATCTTTGGTAAGAAAAATTAAGCACGGAAAACTTCAAATGGCCATGTCTTAATCTAGCAGAGGAAGCAACAGTCTTTAAGTCCTATTTCCGGAGCACTAGTGTCTTGGTAGCTCAGCTTCAACAGAAACGAAGATACTCTGAATTATGACAGAGAGTAAAACAAATGCTTGTGGGTGGCTGAGTCAGGAAGCACTCCCATGGGAAGCAGGCAAGGATTAGAAAACTAGAAAACAGGAATCTGGACACTGTTAAGAGATAATGGGAACTGAAAAGGAAGGCCTGTATACAGTAATTTTCCAAGACATTAGAGGCCGTTCCCTTGGTGCACCCAGCTTACACTCTAGCTTTGACTAGTAGGGCAAGTCATGTTTTATGAAATTAGTATTGCAAGGGCCAAAAGGAGGAGGAATACAGATGCCCCCTGCAATCATGGCCATGGCTTCTGCAGCTGCCACTGCCATCACTCACAGCACTGGGGCAAAGGGTGAGGAGCTGACTGAACATCTCTGCTGAGAAATAGGTTCATTTCACCGAAACCATCTCCTGTTTCCCAACTCTTCACTCCCCTTTAAATTTCGAGGAATTTTAGGCACTATAAATTACAGGTGACCCTTGACAAACAGGTCTGAAATGTATGGGTCCACTTATACATGGATTTTTTTTTTTTTTTTTTTTTACTAAATACATACTACAGTGGTACACCATCTGTAGAGGTTGGTTGAATCCACTGGTGCACAACCGCGGATACAAAGGGCTTACTGTAAAGTTATGTGTGGCTATTCGATTGCTCTGGGATCGGTCCCCTAACCCCCACCATTATTCAAGGGTCAACCGCAATCAAGCTCTTAAGTAAAGAGTACTTTTCACAGTGGCGCAATGGCTTCCCCTGCTAATTACTCCCATGGTCACATCATATGTGACTGCCAGCAATGCCAACAGTCAATATGCAGGACTGGTCCATCCAGAGCTCTAAATTCAGGAATACCTTTATCTCTCCAATCTCCCCTTTTCTTAAGAACCTTCATGAAATGTTACTTGCCCTTCCTCCTAACATTATTCTTTCATGTTCTTTCATAAGTCTTGGGACATTCCGATAAGAAGAAATATAATCAGATAAGCCACTAAACTGTTACAATGAATTAGCTTATTGGGTTAATCCTCTTAGGTATAGTTTAATTTTAAAAGGCTACTATCAGGAGAAAGAGACTCAAAGAACACAAGATCATCATACTGCATTCCAGCTCTAAAATTTTATGATTCTGTGAATAAATCTTTTACAGTGGAATGTTAGATCCTCGTGGAAACTGAGTGAAGGAATCCAAAGGCACATAAGCATAACTTTACAGCTAGGGAAAAGCCCAACAATATATTTTTACATTTGGGCGATGCTGTCAGCAGTTCACAGTGCTTGACATGAATTATTCACTAGTCAGCATTTGCTCTTATTCATTTGTCTACAACCATAAAATATGGGCCGGGTGTACAGAAAACAGTTACTAAGAAATAAATAGGAAATCCATCACAATTCTCTTAGTGGAAAGAACCACAATGATGACTTTAATCAAAACCAATCCTGAAGGATCTATTATCACCTTACCAGTGAAAAATGTTCTTCTCTATGGGAGTGAATCTCTTTAAGAAATGAAACATGCATACACTTTAAATGGCTATGTGATAAAAGTAGTAATTATTCAATGAATTGCAACATGAGAAGAACAATGGAATGCAGAAGACTAGTCTCAGCTCAACCACTTACCAAATAATATCGGATGTTTCCCTGAGTCTCAGGTTCCTCTCCCATAAAATAACAGCACTAGATGATCCCTAAAGTCCTGTCTGGATTTAAAAATTCTATAAATCACTTTTTAAAAACGTCATGATTCTATAATCATGGAATAAATTCCAATGATCAATTAATATTTATAGGTAAAGAATAAACTGCATCCTTTCTTAAGACTAAATAAATATACTAATCCTCGGCAAAGTTTATTATCTTTCGATTTGGGGTGATTATCAATTAATCATCAGTTGCCCACCTACAGAAGAAAAAAATAGCATAATAAGATTAACTAAAAAAGTTGATATTTTATAGTTAACAATTCATTCTGAGGTATTAACATAATCTACTACAATCACATTGTCAGCACTACTAGCTTGATTAACTGATTTGTTTTTAATTTTAAATAACTGCTTTTAATATTGATAATTATACTTCTCTTTTAATTTTATTTTAAACAAAAGTGCAATTTTTTTCCCTCAAATAGAAAACATAGATGCTCACTAAGGAAATCTTGAATAAATACAAAAAGTTTAAAAAGCCAAATTTCTAAAGCATTTAAAAAAGGACAAATGGAATGGCAGCAGATGAGAAAAGCATGACATTCAAGATATAACAGACAGGACTGATTAGCTTAGAGCTGTGGATCTCAAAGCGTGGTCCTCAGACCAGACAGGACTGATTAGCTTAGAGTTGTGGATCTCAAAGTGTGGTTCTCAGACCAGCAATGCCAGCATCATCCCGGAACTTGTTAGATATTCAAGTTCTCAGGTACCACCCCAGACCTACTTAACCAAAAGCTCTGGAGGGTGGGGACCAGAAATAGGAGGGTGGGGACCAGAATTCCAGGGAATTCTGATAGAGCTGGACTTTGACATTTGGTAACTAACTGTTTTCAAGGAAATTAATTTCTAAGTTTCAAATTTAAAAAAATTTTAATGAAGACAGGCACATCATTGGCCATACATGGCCTGCTTTTATTAACTTTTAAAAATTTGATGAGTATTCTTGAAACCACCACCATTCCCAGCCCAAGTAGTAGAACATTAGCAGTAAGTTACATCTACCTGAGCACACCTCTCCTGTCACGTCTTGACGGCTCCCTCTCAGAGATAACCCCTAGGCTGAATTGCCTATTTCTTCTTCCCTTTCCCCTTTGGTTTTATACCTAAATTATATTTGGTTTGGAATTCCCTGGTGGCGCAGCAGTGAAGAATCCGTCTGCCAGTGCAGGGGACATGGGTTCGAGCCCTGGTCTGGGAAGATCCCACATACCGCGGAGCAACTAAGCCTGTGCGCCACAACTACTGAGCCTGTGCTCTAGAGCCCGCGAGCCACAACTACTGAGCCCACGCACCGCAACTACTGAAGCCGGCACGCCTAGAGCCCGTGCTCCACAACAAAAGAAGCCACCGCAATGAGAAGCCTGTGCACCGCAAGGAAGAGTAGCCCCCGCTCACCGCAACTAGAGAAAGCCCGCGTGCAGCAACGAAGACCCAACGCAGGCAAAAATGTTTTTTTAAAAATTTCTAAATTTTTTTTTAAATTTTTAAAAATTTAAAAAAATTATATTTTGTTTTATTAACAGTCAACTTTACTGGTGCATGGAGATATATACAGTTTATTCATTTTCACAACTGTATGATAATGCTATTGTATCAGTATACCATAATTTATTTATGCTCTCTTATCAAGGAATATTTGGGCTATTTCAAGTTTTTGCTATTACAAGCCTCCAGGTACACGTATGCTAAACTTCCTATATATAGGAATGAAAGTGCTAGATCAGAGAAAACGTGGATGTTCAACTTTACAAATTGCACAAAACTGTTTTCCAAAGTGGTTGAACAAATTTCACACCCATAAGGAAGAAAAATAGAGATCCTCTTGACCTATGTGTTCTCCAACACATGGTATTTTTAGATTTCTTACATTCTGTCAACTGACTGGATATAGTCATGTTTGTTAGCCTATCTGATTCATTTTCTATAAAATTATATTTATACATCTTCTCCCATCTTCATATCCAGGAACATACTATATTTCCCTTTAGTCAGGTCTTTAATATCCTTCAATAAAGTTTTATTATGTTCCCCCGACAGGTCTTATTCATCTTTAATAAGATACATATTCTTGTAAATGGCATTTCAAGGTTGTGTTTTCGAGTTGCTTGTTTGTGGTGTAGAGTAATGCAATCGATTTCTGTTTATTGAAGTCATATCCAACTACCTTGTGGAACTCTCAAAACTCTATTATTTCTAGTAGTTTATTGCAAGTTCTTTTTTATATTCTGCAGACAATCATATCATTTGCAAAAAATGACTTCTTCTCCTTATCCACCTTTATACTTTGCTTTCATTTCTTTATCTTATGCTGCTGAGTAAGACCTCTTAAACAATGACGGTTAGAAGTGGCAAAGGTGATTATCTTCTCTTGTATCCTTGATTTTAAAGAGTGCTTAGAACATGTCCCCACTTAGGATAAAGTTTGTTTCAAATATTTTTGTTGACATTCTTATCAAGTTGAGGAGACTCCCTATTACTAGTTTACTAAAAGTTTTTATTGTGAATGAAGAATGGATTCTATTAAATTTTCTGTATCTATTGAGCTTCTATATCTATTTATCATATGATTTATTTCCATTAATCTGTTCATGTCGTTAATGACATTTTAAAATTTTCTAATGTTAAACTACCCTTACATTCATGAGATAAACCTACCTTGGTCATGGTATATTATCTTTTTCATATACTGTCAGAATCGGTTTGCTAATATTTTGTTTAGAATTTTTACATCTATATCACAAGTGAAATAAGCCTGTCATTTTCTTTTCTCTTACTGTTCCTTGTCTGGTTTGGGTAACAAAGTAACCTCATTAAAATGAATTGTGAATATGCCTTCTATTTTAAATCTTTGAAAGAATTTGTTCATTTTTGAAAGGTTTGTTCTTGAAAGTTGGGATTTTTTGTATGCAGATTTTTAATTTAACTGATTTTAATTTGTAATGAACTAGTTTTATAGGTATAGGACTACTCAAGGTTTCTATCTCCAAGTCAGTGCTTTGGTGTATAACATTTTTCTAGGGATTTATCTATTTCATCTAAGTTTTTAAATGTTCTGGCATTAAAAAGTTGTTTAGAAATTCTTTTTTATCTCAAAGCTTTTAAGTCTTTTCAAAACTCTAATTACATAATTATACACAATATGATATGCCTGAACAGAACAAAAGGAAGAGGCATAGTTAGTACTGTTTAAAAATTAGCCTACTCTCTTTTCAAAATTGTAAGCTATCTAAGAGGTAGTTTATGAAGGGGAGCTAGTTCTGGGTGTCTGTCTTTGCATTTTTAACAACAAAGATGAGGAATTGTGCCATGGTATTTACATTCTAATTATGTGTCTATGTTCTGAATTCCAATCGGTTCTGATGTAATAAAGCTTTTTACACTTTGGAGATAAGACTCCATTGTTACATCTAAAGTCAAGTTTAAAAAACCCTGATTCTTCCCTCTGTTGACATTTACAAAGTCACAACAGTTTAGCTTTTTACATGGAAAGATAAATTTATGTAGAAATTAAGACTTTCATGATAGAAATGTTTTAAAATGCATCCTCCATTTTCAGTCCAAAATACTGTGAAGTTTTCTCTGGCAATTCCATGCTTGCACATAGAATATTTTCTGGGAGACAGAACTCCAGACTTTCGTGCCACCATTCTCACTCAGGGTACACTGAAGAATAGAAGGAGCTCTGGATGCTCAATCCCTTTTGTCTGGTTGGAGTTCAGGGGGGCAGCTGACGGCTAGACCAGGGCTCCTCAAGCTTTAATATGAACTCACATCACCTGGGGGTCTTGTTAAAAATGCAGATTCTGATTTCAGAGGTCTGGGGTAGCATCCAAGAGTCTGCATTTCTAAGAAGTTCCAGGCAATGCTCACACGGTTGGTGGTCCCTGAGGAGCATTCTTCTAGATGGCCTGAGATGAGTAGATCTCTGAGCCAGACAGCTCCTGGGCCGTCAGACTCTATCTCTTTCCAAATGAAATATATATACAGTCAAGCATAAAGTGCAGGTTCTATGGACGGGTGCCGCTAATGTGTACTACTTTTAGTTTGTCATCAAAACATTTCATTTTGATCATTTTCTCATTCGGCTACGTTCAGGAAAACTTGCTCGTTTCAAGAGCACCCTCTAAATGTCCACTAATTGCTCATTTTCACACACAAGTTCTAAAGAGAGTGATGTGATGTTTTAAGATTTCCATCATATACAAATAAAGCGTTTTTCCTACAAAATATGTCTTCAAGAAACCGTACCTTCTGTTCTCCCCACATCTCAGCCTCATTACTAGTGTGTACTAGCTGCTGCCACATCCCTGGAATGAGGTATCCAAGGGCAATCAATTCGTTCTCCACTCTGCCCTGAAAAATCCTCAGGGGGGTAGAAAGATACTGAGAAAGAGAAGGCGCTGCTCCCTTATCACCCAGAGAACACTGGTCTCTAGGGTAAGGAAGAGATTCAAGCTCATTAAACTCACAGATCCCCAGTCAACCCCTTAGGGTCCAGAAGCTGGAGTGTGTCTATGTTAAGGTAGGTGCTCTGTTTGCACAGGAGCCTGGCTCATGCAACAGATATGTTCTGGAAGTTGGCTGCGAATCAAAAATTGTTGGTTTTACTTTTTTAAAATTTTTATGAAAGCGTCATTTGAGATACACTAGAGAGGACTGCTAGTTCAAGGGAGCTTAGTGTGAATTCTTTTGTAAAATAAATAATCACTAATTTTGGCCGTATCTGGATTTTCAGACACTGAATTTACATAAAATAGGGCCCCAGTTTAAGTAAATTTGAAGAAGGGAGTCGGGTAAAACAGAACTTCTTATCTGGTTCTAGAATTAAAAATAAGCCTATGTTTATCAGAAGAATGACCATCTTCTTAGCTTTTCAGGTGTAAGATGTTCTTGGCAAGCTCTGATTTGCACTCTTACTCCTTGGTCAGTAAAATATCCTCATTCTGTGAATATCAATTCTTAACCGTTTAAATGAGTCACACACCTCTAGTAAATTGCCTATCCCGCACTATTTCAGGTCATCCAGTACACATGTATTAATGGGCCTCTTAATCAAACTTTCCCCTTTAATCATTCAAAGGATACTGTCCAAAATTAGTTTCGTGAGAGACTCATATGCCGACAAATCACACATTTCTGAAATCTGGTTGTAGGAAAAATCCACCTTCTGATAAGAGAAAGAGAGCAGGACGTTATACTTTCTCATTCATCTTAACCACACAATTACCTGCACAACAAGAATGTATTTTCTGATGAGGGGTTACAATTCATAGTTGAAAATACACTCAGGCTAACATACTTCCTTTGTGTTTAATCGTTTCCTAGCTGGGACCCTCGTCTGCCCACTTTGAGGGGTACTAAGGGGGAGACCCTTCCCCGTGGCTGGCGTGGGCAGCCGCGCAACAGAAACGCTTTCTGTTTCTTCAGTCACTCTCCCCATTTTCAGCACTTATTTTAAACTTTCTTGATCTTCCTTCAGAGCTTACCTCAGTTTCACCCTTACTAACCACCATGTCTTCGTTTTCGCTGACGCCCAATAGCCTGTGTTCATTTAGTTTATATGCACATCTTGCTTCTGGCTTCTTTGCCTTCTCTGTTTCTGGCTCAATTTACTCTCCTGTGTCACCCCCTAAAGGCCAGAAAAGTCTTTCTTATTCATCCCTCAGGCCATACCTCGTCCACTCAGCACCCTTTCTCAAACTTGACTATCTTAGGAAAGCATTTTCAACAATATTGGTTGTTCCTACTCAAAAATATGAGAAAGAAAAACAACATTAAATAACTTTAATTATTCACCTACTGGCAAAAGATAAAAAATATATATATATTTTTAAACACTGCTTTAATGTGCTAGGCACATGGTGATCATTTTCTGGAAAACTATCAAGCAATTATACAATAAGTACTATTGTTATCTTCTTGTGCCCTTTAAAACAGTAATTTTACCTTCCCCAACCCATGCACTAAGATTATTTTTATCAATGTGTTAAATACTAAATACTTTAAATACTAAAAACTTTAAATATTGGACACTAAAAAAAACTTCTTTGAAAACAGCTCAAGTGGCAAGTGTAGAAAATTGGTTAAGTTGATTACAATACAGCAACAAGACTGCATAGTAAGTAAAATACAAGTATGTGAATCATGTGAAGAAATAGAAATGTGCAAACAAATCCTGTTAAAAAAAAAATCAGAAACAAAATTTTATGCATATACAAATTGCAACTATGTAAAATGCATTCCATGACTTAATTAAAAAATCAGTTTGGCATGAAAAAATGAAATTTCTCATTCCCGTTTTTCTTCTACATAATAATGATGGGCTAGAAATAAACTTATAATTATCTAGGTTTACTTATAGCTGACATTTTTCCATCAACACCTTTCATTCTTGTGCCACAGCTTGTGTGTGCTCATGATACCTAGCTAACTACACACCTGTTGGGACTATATGCCAATACTGTGCCCTCCATGCACTTATGATACTGGGCTTGTTGAGAGACCTTAAAAGGGTTATGATATTGCCCTGACTCCCACTGGGAGTTCCACTGGAACCCAGAGCTTGTAAGAAGTGCCCATCAATCAAACGAACCTTTTTCACCTACTAAGAGCAAAACCATTCTAGGAAATACAAAAAGGGTACAAGTATAAGCTCCTGCTCTTCGGGACATGTATGCTTTCTTTGGCTGGTGGCACAAGGCACATAGATAATAAATGAAACATAAGCAGAGCTTTCCGAGAGGGTGAGACATTAAACACAAGCGTGATTTACTGGAAAAATGGGCTTTGGGTCTCAGACATGGGGTTCAGTGCCAGCCCTGTGACCTCCCAGCAAAGGTTAAGTAAGTTATTTAACCTTTCTGTGCTTCTGCAAACTCATCTGTAAAATGGGACCATCCCAGCTGCCTCACAGTTCTATTGGGAGGATTTAGTAAGACCCTGCATTGAAAACATTGGAAGGCCTCAATCATTCCCCTCCCAGGTTCACAAAGGGTTCACTTAGGGTTCATTCACATAGGGTTGAAGTACCTTGTCAGGGGCACTCTGGCACTTTGCAAGCACTTTCCTAAAGTTACCACCAATACATCTGCTCTTAATCCTCTAGGAACTTAAACACTGAGGTATCTGCCATAACGATGGAAACACATCATCGTACATTTGTCCAAACCCACAGAACGTACAACACCAAGAGTGAATCCTAATGTAAACTGTGGGCTTCGGGTGATTATGATGTATCAGTGTAGGTTCGAGTGTAACAAATGTCTCACTCTGGTGGGGGATGTTGATAACGGGGAGGCTGTGCCTTTGTGGGGGCAGGAGATATATGGGAAATCTCTGCACTTTCTCCTCAATTTTGCTATGAACCTAAAACTGCTCTAAAAAAAAAAGATGGGGTATCTGATTTGTTTTTGTTTACTTGTGCAGTCTTTTGGGGAGGGGGTGAGGCAAGGTTGTGAATGAAAGAAACTCCAGTCAAGTTTTTCCCAAGGAAGGGGGTCACGCTCTTGCCATGGCTGATTTCACTGGGGCTTAGGGCAAAGCAGAAGGGGACAGCAAAGGAGGGAGAATCAAGACAGCTCTGCAAGAACAATTCCTGATGACCTGGAGACCACAAGGCCCCATACTGAGGACCAACAGGCACCCTGTGTGGCTTTTCTGGATAAAGGAATGTCACCACAGCAATAACTGTAATTTCAAAGGGAAAAAACTCACTACTGATAAAAATGTAGCAATGTGAAATAAAAGAAGAAAAATTAAGAAAGACGTCTCACTGACAGTATGGAGGATGTCAGATTCTTAATTTCAAACAGACTTATATTTGTGCAAGCTCCAGCAGAATACGTTGGATCTACATTAATTTGGCTTGTAAACAAAAGAAAACTAATAGGTAATAAAAGGCAATCATTGATGTCCACTCCTTAAAACAACTTTTTAATGAAATATTTGAGTCCAATAGAAAAATACTCGTCCCAAGCTGCGGCAATGGTTCCCAAATTTCTCAGCACATTAGAGCCACCTGGGCGGGGTCTTTTAGAAATTCCCACACCCAGGCCTTACCTTGGACCACTTGAACCAGAATATCCGGCAGTGGGATCCAGGCATCAGTAGTCTTTAAAACTCTCCAGGTGATTCCAGTGTGCAGAAAATCGGAGTACCATTAATCTGTGACCTCTCTGCTTATGTGTGGTCCATGGACCAGCAGCAATGGATCATCAGGAAGGCTGTTAGAAAGCAGGGCCTCAGGCCCACCTCAGACCTACTGGATCAGAACCTCATTTTCACAAGAACGCCACGTGACCTACACACACGTTAGAGTAGGAGCCACCGTGCTCCACAGCAGAGTAAACTGCTCCATCAACCACCACTCACAGAGCTTCCTTCTGCCTCAGAAATGCAAACCAAGTGCAGAGAAGCAAGAACGAAGATCTGAAATCTCTGCTTTCTAAACAAAAGTAAAGGTTGGATGAATAAAGAAGGCAAAATTTAAGCCCCCAGGAAACTTTTACAGAATTTTCAGGTATAAAATTGTTCTGCTATGATAAAAATACACAAACAATAACTAGTATTTAAATGAAGCAGAGAAAAGGGAAAGAAGTTAGTTCATTGGTTTGGACACTAGGTTTTAGCAAAGCTTCCGAAAAAGATAATCTCTTGAAAGACTATCTCCCTTTTCTAAAATAAATGATACACAAATCCTTCTCCTTTTTTATTTCATTTCTCCTCTGTCTTATTCTCTCTGAATTCTCTTTTAGTGCTGTTTTGCTCATTAATGTATTTCACAAACCAATTAACACATGTAATTAGTGTATTAATAGAATCTACCTTGAGATTTTTGGGTGGCTTGAAATTGAAGAATGTCGTCAGTTTATTCTGAGAAGCATTAAGTTCTAGAAGATAAGGCATACAGCTCACACAAGACAAATCTGGGGGATAAAATGAATAAAGAATAAGGTAAGTAAATAAAATAAAACTTAGACGAAGTCATTAAAAACAGCATACATTATATCAGAACATTTTAAAACTATACCAGTTGGAAGCACATCTTAATTATTCCAGATGAGTGAAATGAATAAAAATAGGAATATGCAAAACACACACACAGTGTGGAAAAGGCACCATGAGCCCACAATTTAACCTTCTTCTCCAGGGCCGCCCACCTGTCCCATCCCCATCTTCCATCACAACCAGGAAAGAAATGACCAAGGCCTCCTTGCGGCCCAGCTCACTCTCCCCTGAGCTGCTAACAGTCAATGCTTCAAAAATGCCAGCCTTGGGGGAGACCAAGATGGCGGAGGAGTTAGACGTGGAGATCACTTTCCTCCCGACAGATACAGCAGAAATACATCTACGTGTGGAACAACTCCTACAGAACACCTACTGAACGCTGGCAGAAGACCTCAGACCTCCCAAAAGGCAAGAAACTCCCCCACGTACCTGGGTAGGGCAAAAGAAAAAAGAATAAACAGAGACAAAAGAATAGGGACAGCACCTGCACCAGTGGGAGGGAGCTGTGAAGGAGGAAAAGTTTCCACACACTAGGAAGCCCCTTCGCGGGCGGAGACAGGGGGTGGCGGTGGGGGGGGAGGGAAGCTTCGGGGCTGCGGAGGAGAGCACAGCAACAGGGGTGCGGAGGGCAAAGCAGAGAGATTGCCGCACAGAGGATCGGTGCCGACCGGCACTCACCAGCCCAAGAGGCTTGTCTGCTCACCCGCCGGGGCGGGTGGGGCTGGGAGCTGAGGCTCGGGCTTCGGGCGGATTGCAGGGAGAGGACTGGGGTTGGCTGCGTGAACACAGCCTGAAGGGGCTAGTGCACCACGGCTAGCCGGGAGGGAGTCCGGGAAAAGGTCTGGAGCTGCTGAAGAGGCAAGAGACCATTGTTTCGGGTGTGTGAGGAGAGAGAATTCAGAGCACCACCTAAACGAGCTCCAGAGACGTGCATGAAATGCTACGGCTGCTGCTGCCGCCACCAAGGAGCCTGTGTGCCAGCACAGGTCACTCTCCACACCTCCCCTCCCGGGAGCCTGTGCAACCCGCCACTGCCAGGGTCCTGTGATCCAGGGACAACTTCCCTGGGAGAACACACGGCGTGCCCCACTCTGCCGCCGCAGGCTCGCCCTGCATCCATACTCCTCCCTCCCTCCGGCCTGAGTGAGCCACAGCCCCCCGAATCGGCTGCTCCTTTAACACCGCCCTGTCTGAGCGGGAGCAGACGCCCTCACGTGATGTACACGCAGAGGCAGGTCCAAATCCAAAGCTGAACCTCGGGTGCTGTGGGAACAAAGAAGAGAAAGGGAAATCTCTCCCAGCAGCCTCAGGAGCAGCGGATTAAACCTCCACAATCAACTTGATGTACCCTGCATCTGTGGAATACCTGAATAAACAATGATTCATCCCAAATTGAGGTGGCGGACTTTGGAGGCAATGATATATATATTTTTTCTATTTTCTCTTTTTGTCAGTGTGTATGTGTATGCTTCTTTGTGTGATTTTGTCTGTATAGCTTTGCTTTTAACATTTGTCCTAGGGTTCTGTCTGTCCAGTTTCTGTTTCTTTTCTTTTTTGAGATAGTTTTTAGCACTTGTTATAATTGGTGGATTTGTTTTTTGGTTTGGTTGCTCTCTTTTTAAAACTATTAATAATTATTTTTTATTTTAATAACTTTATTTTATTTTTTTCTTTCCTTTTTTCCTCCCTTTTCTTCTGAGTCGTGTGGCTGACAGGGTCTTGGTGCTCCAGCCGGGTGTCAGGCTTGTGCCACTGAGGTAGGAGAGCCGAGTTCAGGACATTGGTCCACCAGAGACCTTCCGGCTCCACGTAATACCAAATGGCGAAAGTTCTCCCAGAGATATCCATCTCAACATGAAGACCCAGCTCCACTCAACAACCAGCAAGCTACAGTAATGGACACCCTATGCCAAACAACTAGCGAGGCAATAACACAACCCCGCCCATTAGCAGAGAGGATGCCCAAAATCATAATAAGGTCACAGACAACCCAAACACACCACCTGACGTGGTCCTACCCACCAGAAAGACAAGATACAGCCTCATCCTCCAGAACGCAGGCACCAGTCCCCTCCACCAGGAAGCCTACACAACCCACTGAACCAACCATAGACACTGGGGGCAGACACCAAAAACAACGGGAACTACAATCATGTAGCCTGTGAACAGGAGACCCCAAACACAGTAAGTTAAGCAAAATGAGAAGACAGAGAAACACACAGCAGATGAAGGAGCAATGTAAAAACCCATCACCAAACAAATGAAGAGGAAATAGGCAGTCTACCTGAAAAAGAATTCAGAGTAAAGACAGTAAAGATGATCCAAAATCTTGGAAAGAGAATGGAGAAACTACAAGAAACGTTTAACAAGGACCTGGAAGAACTAAAGAGCAAACAAACAATGATAAACAACACAATGAATGAAATTTAAAATTCTCTAGAAGGAATCAATAGCAGAATAACTGAGGCAGAAGAATGGATAAGTGATCTGGAAGATAAAATAATGGAAATAACTACTGCAGAGCAGATTAAAGAGAAAAGAATGAAAAGAATTGAGGACCGTCCAGGAGACCTCTGGGACAACATTAAATGCACCAATATTCGACTTATAGGGGTCCCAGAGGAAGAAGAGAAAAAGAAAGGGACTGAGAAAATATTTGAAGAGATTATAGTTGCAAACTTCCCTAATATGGAAAAGGAAATAGTTAATCAAGTCCAGGAAGCACAGACAGTCCCATACAGGATAAATCCATGGAGAAGCACACCAAGACACATATTAATCAAACAATCAAAAAATAAATACAAAGAAAAAATATTAAAAGCAGCAAGGAAAAAGCAACAAATAACATATAAGGGAATCCTCATAAGGTTAACAGCTGATCTTTCAGCAGAAAGTCTACAAAACAGAAGGGAGTGGCAGGACATATTTAAAGTGATGAAAGGGGAGAAACTACAGCCAAGATTACTCTACCCAGCAAGGATCTCGTTCAGATTCGACGGAGAAATTAAAACCTTTACAGACAAGCAAGAGCTAAGAGAATTCAACACCACCAAACCAGCTTTACAACAAATGCTAAAGGAACTTCCCTGGGCAGGAAACACAAAAGAAGAAAAAGACCTACAATAACAAACCCAAAACAATGAAGAAAATGGGAATAGGAACATACATATCAATAATTACCTTAAATGTAAATGGATTAAATGCTGCAACCAAAAGACACAGACTGGCTGAATGGATATAAAAACAAGACCCATATATATGCTGTCTACAAGAGACCCACTTCAGACCTACGGACACATACAGACTGAAAGTCAGGGGATGGAAAAAGATATTCCATGCAAATGTAAATCAAAAGAAAGCTGGAGTAGCAATTCTCATATCACACAAAATAGACTTTAAAATAAAGACTATTACAGACACAGAGAAGGACACTACATAATGATCAAGGCATCAATCCAAGAAGAAGATATAACAATTGTAAATATTTAGGAACCCAACAAAGGAGCACCTCAATACATAAGGCAAATGCTAACAGCCATAAAAGGGGAAATCAACAGTAACACAATCATAGTAGGGGACTTTAACACCCCACTTTCACCAATGGACAGATCATCCAAAATGAAAATAAATAAGGAAACACGAGCTTTAAATGACACATTAAACAAGATGGACTAAATTGGTATTTATAGGACATTGCATCCAAAAACAACAGAATACACTTTCTTCTCAAGTGCTCATGGAACATTCTTCAGGATAGATCATATCTTGGGTCACAAATCAAGCCTTGGTAAATTTAAGAAAATGGAAATTGTATCAAGTATCTTTTTCGACCACAACACCATGAGACTAGATATCAATTATAGAAAAAAAATCTGTAAAAACTACAAATACATGGAGGTTAAACAATACACTACTTAATAACCAAGAGATCACTGAATAAATCAAAGAGGAAATAAAAAAATACCTAGAAAGAAATGACAATGAAAACACGATGACCCAAAACCTATGGGATGCAGCTAAAGCAGTTCTAAGAGGGAACTTTACAGCAATACAGTCCTACCTCAAGAAACAAGAAACATCTTAAATAAACAACCTAACCGTACACCTAAAGCAATTAGAGAAAGAAGAACAAAAAACCCCCAAATTTAGCAGAAGGAAAGAAATTATAAAGATCAGATCAGAAATAAATGAAAAAGAAATGAAGGAAACAACAGCAAAGATCAATAAAACTAAAAGCTGGTTCTTTGCGAACATAAAATTGATAAACTATTAGCCAGACTCATCAAGAAAAAAAGGGAAAAGACTCAAATTAATAGAATTAGAAATGAAAAAGGAGAAGTAACAACTGACCCTGCAGAAATACAAAGGATCATGAGAGATTACTATAAGCAACTATATGCCAATTAAATGGACAACCTGGAAGAAATGGACACATTCTTAGAAAAGCACAACTTTCTGAGACTGAACCAGGAAGAAATAGAAAATATGAACAGACCAATTAGAAACACTGAAATTGAGACTGTGATTAAAAATCTTCCAACAAACAAAAGCCCAGGACCAGATGGCATCACAGGTGAATTCTATCAATTTTGTTAGAATTTAGAGATAGAATTTAGAGATATCAAACATTTAGAGAAGAGCTAACACCTATCTTTCTCAAACTCTTCCAAAATATAGCAGAGGGAGTAACACTCCCAAACTCATTCTATGAGGCCACTATCACCCTGGTACCAAAACCAGACAAAGATATCACAAAGAAAGAAAACTACAGGCCAATATCACTGATGAACATAGATGCAAAAATCCTCAACAAAATACTAACAAACAAAATCCAACAGCACACTAAAAGCATCTTACACCATGATCAAGTGGGGTTTATTCAAGGAATGCAAGGATTCTTCAATATATGCAAATCAAT